AAAAAAAAAACAAAAAAATGTTCGAATTTCAAAAATCAATTTATTGCAAGTGCCTTTTTTGATCATTTTAATTAAAGTGATAGCTTCAGAAACTAGTTTTTATCTTTGTTAAAACTTCATTTAACATTCTGATTACATTAATATTTTCTTTCTTCAGCGTGGACGCGAAAGACCATCATTGTTTCCAAATGGCATAAATCCTTTGGATACAGCTGCTGTGAAATTTGCTAAACCTTTACCATTGACAGCGTTAGCTGCCCGTTCGTTTTCTCTGGGAGTGATACCTTCAACGAAAGTTGATACTACGTCCATTTTAGTTACACCATCCTCGACTGTTAGGATGTCAAAAAGAACACCAGTTGGTTCTTTTTGTTTAAAGTTTCTAAATTTCTTTAGGACCGAATTATTTTTGAATTTATATTGAGGAAAATGGGTATTATGCATAATATTGGTAAATAGAAATTTTGTATGAAATTATTTTTCAGGCAAAAACTGTTAGGTTTGACGAAAGTATCGATTTTCGAAGTCCAAAAGTTGATAGTATATCTTCTTCAGAAACCAATGTTCTTGAAACTGATAAACTAGCTTCTCTAGAAACTACAGTAAGCTTTACAAAATTAGATTTCTTTCTCCATGAATTTATTTATATAACTATCACATTCGTTTCAGAATGAAATGATTTTGGATCTGAAAATGAAATTTGATGACATATTAGAAAAGCTGAGAAATTTGCCAGCGAGTGTTTTTACCAACTTGAAACAAGCAGTGTATCAAATTGCTTATGAGAAATCAAGGTAAATTTCTGGTATATTTTACATAAATTTAGATTAGGAGTTTGGCGCATTACATCTTGATTTTTTTCAGTAGGGTAGTAATCCTGCACTGTCGTATTATTAATTGAAGTGTTTTTTAAGCAGTCAAGTAGTGGAATTTTTGGATATGAATCGATCGGTGTTTCAGAGATGCTAACAGAACGTGTAATGGGTATCCATTCAACCCACCGCTTAATTCGACAGCGTTGTCATTCTCAAAACCTGAAACGAAGGAAGTCTTGTTCAGTAGTTGTCGGTCATCATTGGATTGCATCGCCTCACGAACAAGACGAAAAGTTCGTGTGTCTCAGGTATATGCAAACCAGGTAATTTCGTTTGTAGATTTTTGAAGTTTCGTAAAATTAAACTCAGAAAACTAATAAACAAATGATCTGCTTGAAAACAGAGAATTCTGGTTTAAAAATAAATTTCTAGAACTCATTTCACTTTATCCAAATATATTACAGGAATTCCCATTAACAATGGAATCATCTCAAGAAAAAAACAGCGATCCTGTGTTTCGTCCAGAAAATCTTGCTTATAAAAACTGCGAAACCTCTAAAATGTAATGTATGTTGGTACTTAATTTGTTATTAGCTTTTTGACCTCTTGAATTATAATAAAACAACCGAAAGTTCCTTAATTTATGAATCATACGTTATAGGGTCTTCCGAAAGGGGAGCAGAATGAATTAGTAACATCATATATATAGAAATGAATAGTAATATAAACACAGAATTGAGCAGAAGAGTACATTTTTCACTTCTTACAATTGCTTATTACTGAATTTTGAATCTGTTTGCAGCAGCAAGAATTCGAAAGAAATGAATCGAGTGTTCTCTAACAAAGTACAATCAATTGAATCAACAGTGGAACTGCCATGATTTTTACTGTGTTCTTTGTATGTGCATAGGATTTATAGGTCTTCAATTATTTACAAAACATTCTTGGATTCATGAAGTTATGGCCAAGATTTCGTTGTTGTGGTTAGAAATAACTAAAAACATAATAATTATGGAAATAATAAGGCTTGATTTAAAATATTTAATTTCCATCTCTTCCCTTATTGTGCATTCTTTCAATGAATGTGGGGGTTGAACTTCCACATTCTCCCTGTTTGGAAGTTTATGGCGCATAAATGCTGTACTAAATCCAATCATAGCCTCTTTTATATCGCAACCAGGGCGAGAGTTGTTGCTTACACTATGATTATATTAAATAAATAAAAAAGGATCACAATCGTGAGGATATTTGATAAAACTTCCGTGCATGTTGGATATACTGCATACACACCTTCTAAAAAGAATTTATCTTGCAGTTGTACATCAAGAAAATTACTTGTAATGTTAAAGATAGGAGAAAGACGAAAACAAAATGGCAGTTATTTTATGGTTTTACTCTCTCAATTGTTTTATTAATGTCTAATCTGAAAAAGAAAATTACCGATACAAATCTAAATAGTTTTGATTTTGATCAATTTTTTCTGAAGACCTCATAGGAAAACATTTTTATTCCATCACTGTATAATTAGTATGTTTGTTTTTTGCTTTTGTCATATCTATCACTTGTTCTATCTATCCATCTATATATATATATATATATTTGTATGTATAGAATGAGAAAGCATCTTTTCAATGTTATAATTTTCATTAACTATGGAAAAATGACTCCCTTGTCGTGCAAAATACATTTTATTCTCTGGTAGAATCTTACATAACAACAGATCCTTGGATGATATCCACAAATCTTCCCCGTTGCTTTTACTACTAGTGTTGGTACATCATATAAGGCTTAATAACTTTTATTTTTGAAATCATAGATTCGCTTGATTTATGAGACTCATCGCTGAATTCTACTTCGTTATATTTCCGGGTCTGACGAGTGACGAGAAGCTGGGACTGTTTTATCTAAACCATAGACTTCTAATTTTTCAGCTGATAATATCTGAATTCGCCTCCTCGCGAAAATATATTTGGAATAACAAAAAATAAAAAGTCGGCATTCACAAAATTACTTTTATTCAGCTTAGCTTCAATCATCGATTTGTTTTATAGCATCATTTAAGACTA